TGAGGTGAAGGGAAGACACTTCCCTTTGATCTCATCCCCGCCGAGGGGGGGGGGTCCCACGGGGTGGGGTGGGGTGGGAGGGGAGGTGGGGGAAGAGGGCCTTTGGAGTCCCAAAACGGTGCGGCGACAGACCGTGCGGTGACCTCGAAATGCCCCAAGACCTCACCGCACGGTCCGTCAACGCACGGTTTTGGGACCTCGGATGCCCCAGTCGCCCGAGACGTCCTCTAGAGGCCTCCTAGATGGGGTCCGAGTAGATGGGGTCGGAGGATCGCGCAGCATCGCCAATGCATCGACGATGCATCTGCGATGCATCCGCGATGCATCGGCGACGTCGGCGATCCATCGGCGCCGTCGGCATGGCGAAAATCGGGCTCCGCATCGAGCCGCATCGCCGATGCATCGGCGATGCGGCGCGGTCCTCCGACCCCATCTACTCGGACCCCATCCAGGAGGCCTAGATCCTCGGAGAACGACCCGAGTCCGAAAACCGTGCGGTGACACCGAATCCCCACCGACTCACCACACGGTGTGGTCGCCACCCCGTCTGGGAGCCCCCGAGGGTCCCGGGTCGGCATTGCGCCATCCCCTGGGGTCCCGGGGCGGTCCCGGGGGGAGATCGCCAGCGGGAATCCCAGGAGAAGTCCCGCACGCAGGGTCGGCGGCACTGGCCGGAAGGCCTTCCCAATCCTTGATTTCCCTCCGTTTTTGTTACATGTGTTCACAATATCGCCGTTTCGAGCTTCTGTCAGTCCAAGACCACCCAAGAGGTCCAACAGATAGCCCAAGACGGCCTCAAGACAGCCCCAGAGGGTTCCTGGACAGCCTAGGATGGACTCAAGAACGCCTCAAGCTGGCCCTAAAGAGCCTCTGGAAAGGACCCAAGACGGCCTGAAAGGATCCTTGGACGACCCAAGAAGGCCCCACGATGGCACCGAAGAGACTCCCCAGTCGGCCACGAGGGCCCCAAGAGAGCTCAAGACAGCCCAAGAGGGCACCAAGACGTCCCAAGACGGCTCCCGAGACTGCCTTTCGGGAGCCCAGGCTCCTCATCCTCCTCATTAGCATCACTATTGACATCGTCATCGTCAGCAGCATCATCAGCATCAGCAGCATCCTCATCATCATCATCATCATCATCATCATCATCATCATCATCATCATCATCATCATCATCATCATCATCATCATCATCAGCAGTAGCAGCAGCAGCAGCAGCAGCATCTCATCATCACCACCACCACCACCATCACCATCACCATCACCATCCTCATCCTCCTCATCATCATCATCATCAGCAGCAGCATCATTATCATCATCACCAACACCACCATCACCATCACCATCACCATCACCATTATCATCCTCATCATCATCATCATCATCATCATCATCATCATCATCATCATCATCATCAGAATCATCATCATCGTAATCGTCACCATCAGCAGCATGATCATTATCATCGTCATCTGCATCGTCACCCTCCTCATCCTCATCACCATCACTATCATCTACCACCATCAGCATCACTATCACCATCGCGATCATCACGCACAGGCAGCCCAAAAGAGGAATACGAGCGTTCATCAAGAAGCGAAGACAACATGTGTTACATGTGACGGCTTTCCTTCTCCACATACTTTGCTCCCCAGGACGGCCCAACATTTGTGGGCCGTAAACATATTCTTTGTACCGCGTCGATCGCCTCCAGCTCCCACCCCTCCACCGTGCACGCTGCAATCACAGCCGAGAATGCTGGACTCGGGATATACACCCCCTCCCCCACCTGACCGGCGGCAAACCCGAAACCAGGGAAGCACCCCCCCACCATCCCTGCCAAACGAACCATGCAGAGCGCGCTTCTGCGGCAGAATCGGGATCACCCTCGGGCGCCCCGCGACCACTTTTTGCACTGTCTCTGGACTTGGGTCGGGCGTGTCCCCCTACAGCCGGAGTTTGGGAGAAAAACGAAAAGTACTCCAGAAATATGTCAAAAAGGACAACAAATCGTCCCCAGGCTATTTTTGCCTATGTCAGAATATCCCTCCCGTCAAGGAACAGGCCCGACTTAAGACCACTTTTGCGCACCGTGTTTCTGGACGGGAACGGCGGGGAATGCGGGCACACAGCCCCGCGTCCTGAAGGCCCACCGCCCCCGTCAAAAGAGCCAATGCAGGGCGCACGCAAGAGGCCCCCAAAGACGCTTCCAAGAGGCCCCCGAAGAAGGCTCCCAAGAGGCCCCCAAACTGTCCCCCAGAGGCCCCCAGGAGCGCTTCGGAGAGCCACCAAGAGGCACCCATGATGACTCTGCCCCACGTCTAAGAGGCCCCCAAACTGTCCCCCGGAGGCCCCCAAGAGCGCATCGAAGAGCCCCCAAGAGGCACCCACGAGAACTCTGACCCACGTCAGCGTCGTCGTCGCCGCCGCCGCCGCCGCCGTGGTCGTCGTTCCCCTCCAGGATCGGCGGCACCGGCCTTGAGGCCTTCGCGATCTTCGACCACGCGCGGGCGCCGTGCGATCATGCTGCATCGACGACGGGGGGGGGCCTGGCCCGCGCGTGCATGGTTTCCCCCGGGGCCGTAGGCGACCCGAGGAGGAGGAGGAGGAGGAGGAGGAGGAGGAGGAGAGAGGGAGGAGAGGAGGAGGAGGAGGAGGGGAGGAGGGAGGGAGAGGAGAAGGAGAGAGGGAGGAGGAGGAGGACGAGGACGAGGAGGAGAGGAGGAGGAGGGAGGGAGGGAGGGGGAGGAGGGAGGGAGGAGGGAGGGAGGAGGAGGGAGGGAGGGAGGGAGGAGGAGGTGAGAGGGAGAGAGAGGAGGAGGAGAGAGAGGAGGAGAGAGGAGGGAGCGAGGAGAGGGGAGGAGGAGGAGGAGGAGGAGGAGGAGGAGGAGGAGGAGGAGGAGGAGGAGGGAGGAGGGGGAGGAGGAGGACGGGTCGCCTAATAAGCCATTCGGGGAGACCCTCCGCCCGCGCGGCGCACGCGGCGGGCCACGCGCACCTGGCGGGCGTCGCGCCGCCTGCGATTGTCGCCTCTAACTCCTTACGGCTGCCGCTGGCGGCCCCTGCTAGTGCCGAGGCTCGGGTGCTGCGCATGGGTTTGGAAGGCGGTGTTTGGCGGCGCGCACAAGGGGGTAGGGGGAGGAGTGGGGAAGGCTTCTTGGATGGAGGGAGCTTTTTAGAAGGCGCCGAACCAACACCTAGAAGTACGGCCCGCGCCTTCTATGAGGCCTTCCCACCTCCCCCTACCCCCCTCTGCGCGTGGCCAGGAGTTGGAGGTGAGCGAGACGGCTTGCGGCTTGTGGGTACATAAACAAACTGATCACTCTCCCCTGTTAGTATTAGTATACACCCCCTCCCCCCCCTGACCGGCGGCAGACCCGAAACCATGACGCCCCCGTTCCCCCCCACCATCCCTGCCAAAGAGCAGTACAGAAGGCACGCTGTAGCCAAGTCTGGACCATGCGCGGGCACCAAGCGAACACTTTGCATTGTTTGCTGACAGGGACGACGGGGGGAGTCAGCATATTGCCTGCTGCGCGCAAACCCATCATCTCTTACACAGAACAATACGAAATAAAAGTTGCGACAACATCTTGATCATGCGCGGGCGCACCGCGATCACTTTGCACCTCTATTTTTGGCGGCGAGCAAGGGGGGGAAGTGAGAAAGAGAACGCCTTCTCAGAAGGTGGCGAGACTTCTCAGAAGCCCTCGCGCCTTCTGAGAAGTTTTCTGTGTCTTCGGGGAAGGCCTAGAAAACTTCTCAGAAGGTCGAGGGGACTTCCGAGCCTTCTTAGAAGGCCCGCCATTCTCACTTCACCCCCTGGCTCGCCGCCAATATTTGGCGGGGATGGCGGGGGTGCCCGGGCACGTGCGGCGCACTCGCGGGCGTCGCGCACCTGGCGGGCGTCTGCATTGGTCCCCGATGATCGTGCATGAATGGCCTCTGCCCATGAAGACGCCCCAAGAGACTTCCAAAAGTCCTCCGGGAGACATCCCCAGCGACTCCGAGAACTCCAAGAGACCTCTAGCCCACTGAGCCTCCCCGAAATATCAAAATTATGCCACGCTCTCCCGACATGGGTAGCTCCCCTGGGCATCGGTCCTGCATGGGCTGGTGGGGATAGCAAGCAAGCAGGCAGGCAAACTGCTGAGTTCGAAACCCACATGAACACATAGCCACTGTCACGTGGAATCGCGGAAGAAATGGTGTCTTGCCATAGTGCCAGAAGGGCCTCCCCACTCCTAGCTGCTTCGCAGGCAAGCCTGTAAACTTCCTGGGACCACCTTGATCATGCATGCTCTCTCTTTCTCTGGGTGGCAGGGGAG